CTTCCATCCTTTTCTTCTCCGACTTGCCATTGTTTGTTCGTTCTGCAGCTGGTTATGTTTGTGTCCGAGAGACTTGGTTTTTATTTTAATGCACTTAATCATAATGTGGGTCAAGTTTAAGGAAGTAGATTTAAGTTCATTATCAAACATTTTATTTGAATAGTAATGGTTTAAGGCAAATCTTTTGAAAAATTATATCAATGAGTAGTTGGATTAGATTCTTATCATAAGTTTGAACTAGTCTGATAGGGAGCTCAAAAAAGTCAATAAGCTCCTAAACATTGCCCAATTTTTCAATGAAACCCTTAAACTCTTATTTTGATCTAAGCCCCTAAAGTTTACACAACTTTTCTGTGAAATCCTCAAATACTTGTTTCAGTACTAAGTTATTTTACTTTCGTTCAATTAAAGTTCCTGAAGTTTTAAATTATTTAGCGTCCATGGTTGTTTTAAGTCTCAAAAACCATCAAAATACATGTTTAAGCTGTGGTATAATGGAATACTGTAGAAAGAATCACGTGATGAAAGTCTTATAGTTTGAGCTCTGATCTATCTGCTATTTGTTCAAAATTTAAAACCTTTTTTTACCATCCAGCATGCCAAGTTTTGGGTTGTTCATAATGGAAAATCGAAGCATTGCGAGGTAAATATAATCAAGATACAGAAGTACAGTACGAATTTTTGATGAGAAGAGAAATAATAGGTGCAGTTGAAGTTCAGTCAGTTTTTCTCTTTAGTCAAACATTAAGGAGAGATTACTAACTTTCTCTTTAACTAATTTAAAAGAATTTTTTTAGTTATATGATATTATATCCTTCTAAAATGGTGGCATTGGCAATATTCACTTCCCTAAGCAACAAAATCAATAAGATTATTATACCCTTAGTAGTTATGTTGAACCCGCCATAGGGACTAAATAGAATGAAAGGAAATACTTTTGGGGCTTAATAGATTGAATCAAGAGTTTGAGGGGTTTATAGAAATGTTGGATAAAGCTTATGGGCTTAATAGATGAAAGTAAGAGTTCGAGGGCTTTATAGAAAATTTGGGTAAATTTTAGGGGCTTATTAGACTTTCATTTTGTCTAATAGGTTACTCAATTTTTATTAGGGGTTTTTTCTTATAAACCTAAAATTTTTACTCTCATTTGCTAAAAACACCACTGAGTTCTATATGATCCAATAAACCAAAATACAAAGTTTATTTATCTTTTTTTTAAGCAAAAGTAGGTTGAGGTACCCTACTCAATAACTATATTATATATGAAAAGAGAATAAAACTTACAAAATTTGGGATTGATTCGGAGACGACGGCTGCTATATTGGGTAGGGAGCGAACATAGTCGTCACCAACCCAAAAACAATAACCATGTTTCAAAAATCCCGAAAATCAAAAACCAAAGTATCTTGCTGCACTTACAGCTAATAAAATCGTACATAATCAACAAAACCAACGGAGAGTCACAAAGTTTGAGTTTCGGAACTGAGAACATAAGAGTATGATTGCATAGGAGGAGAATTATGAAACTACACTTGAAGGAGCTGGGATTAATTCTCTGCCACAAAGTTATCCCCCACAGCGTCGTCCACTCCAACTTTGACCATGTCCTTCAAGCCCAGATCAACAACTGCTCTATGTAATCTCGAGGCTCTCCTGCTGCTAGAAGCTCCTGTCCAGAATAGTGTAAAACGAGCGACGTTGGAGGCTATCAACTGCGGAGTGACAAGTTTGTCGTTGAAAATGAGATTGTTTCGGCGGGTCCAAGTCCACCAACAGAAGCATGGGAGTATCACTCTCCATAGAACCCTAAGCTCATAATTGACCAAGAAGTTGCCATTATTAGATATCAAGGGGTCCATTGCCTTAGGTCAAATACTTACATTTTCATGAGGGAGGAGTATGGACCAAGCAGCTCTAGAAAAGGAGCATGAGATGAATAAATGGTCTTGCGACTCCATTTCTTGGTTACATAAAGGGCAAGTAAGGTCACCAGTCCACCCTTTTTTGGACAAATTCTCTTTGGTGTGGAGTCTCTGCATGCTGAGGATCCAGAAAAAGATCTTAACCTTCAGCTGGGTAGGGGATTTCCAGATGAAGCTATGAAGGTGGAAGATGATACCACCATGGTTGAGGAGAGAGAAGAAGGACTTTACGGAGTAGGTACCCGATAAGTTGTGAGGCCACCATATACTATCTTGAGTAATGGATGTAGGCTGGATAGACTCAATGAAAGAGTGGAGATCTGTAATATTTGATTTTTCTTCTGCTGTAGAACCTCTTCTAAGGATAGGATGCCATCTTCAAGAGTTTTGGTACCAGATACCTTGAGAGTGAGTTGAGCTGGTATGAGAAAAAGCTAGAAGATGAGCCTTGGGGAAGAGACTGATAAAGGAGTTGGCTCTTGCCCATTTATCCACCCAGAATCTGCAGGTGTTGCTATCACCTAATTTCCATCAAACAAAATTGAAGAAAATGGAGTCAATAGAGTATAAATCATGGATAAGTTTAGAAGCAGAGCCTTTGGGAGGGTTGGAGATTGGGTTAGAGTTGTTGGTTGAGTAAATGGAGAAGATGACTTTGCTAGCTAACGATTCTCTGTCAAAGATTTTCCAAATCCATTTAGATAGAAGAGCTTGGTTGAAGGAAGGCAAATTGATGATACCTAAACCACCTTCTTGCTTGGCTTTGCACACATTCTCCCACTTAACCAAACTTTTGGCTTTAGAAGACCAATGGTAACCACCCCAGAGGAAATTTCTCCTGATTTTATCTATGGCCTTGATTAACGAGGAGGGTAGTTTGAAGAATGACATATAGTATAGAGGGAGGGATGAGAGAACAGAGTTGATAAGAGTAAGTCTACCTCCAATAAAAAGGAATTTATTCTTCCATAGAGCTAGCTTTTTAGAGAATGAATCTAAGAGGGGTTGTCACTCACGTATAGTGAGAGTACCTCTCTTAAGGGGAAGACCTAGATAGGTAAAAGGGAGGGAACCAACTGAACAGTTAAGGATGTTGGCTAGACAGGTTCCTTTGAGGGTGATTTTTCCATGATAGAAGAGATTTGACTTGGAGTAATTAACGGTGAGACCAGAGATATTAGCAAATATGAAAACGATGGTTTTGAGGGTAATCGTATCTCTTGTGGTAGCTTTAGAAAAAAATTAATGTATCATCTATGAATTGGAGAGTTCTGATAGAATTAAGCTCTCCTTTAAGATTGAGCTCAGAGAGGTCCCCTGAGGATGCACTAGCTCTGATCATTCTATTGAGAACATCAACAATGAGAAGAAAGAGCATTGGTGAGAGAGGATCACCCTGCTTAAGTCCCCTATGGCATTTGAAGAAATTAGTAGGATAGCCATTAACCAACACTGCTTATTTGGAGGACGACAGAACATGGAAAATCCATTGGCACCATTTTAGACTAAAACCTCTCGCTTCAAGAAGGGTAAAAAGAAATTTCCAGTTAATGTAGTCAAAAGCTATGAAAAAAATCTACTTTAATAGCACACAACTCCTTTTTACCTGAGGAGCAGAGGTTGATCATTTCATGAGCAAGAAGGATGGAGTCAAGAGCGAACTTGTTGCTTTGAAAAGCTGCTTGAGAGGTGTCAATGAGTGAAGATAGGAAGAGTTGGAGTCTATTTGTAAGAATTTTGGTGAAGATTTTGATAGTACTATTTGTTTGTGGGAAAATTTGTAATAAAAAGAATATAAGGAAAGAATTGCGTTTGATTTTATTCTCTCTAACTGCTTAGAAAAAGGAATGATTACAACTCTCTCAACTCTCGATTACAATTTGGATTCCTAGTTACAAAAGGAGAAGAGAATGATCTGGATTCTCCCCTTTGTTTAATTCTGGGTTCTTCACGGTAGCGATGAGATGCCTCCCTCGAATGCTTGCGTCGAGTTTGCTTCTCGTTGACGATCCG